TCCCCTGAGGATTCTGGAGACTCTGCATCAATAGTTTTGTTTTACAGATGCACTCCTATTACCTACTGTATAACGTGGGCACAGCTGAGGTGGACTTGGAGACTTCAACCTGGAAAAGAGATGATTTATTAGAGATATGAGAGAGGTCAACACAATTCTGAGTGGCATGGAGAGGAATGGAGAGGAATGCTAGAGATCAACTGGTTGCTGTATCTTTCAGGTACAGATGCCATAGAATTAGGTATGACATTAAAGTGGATCAGGTTTGAAACAAAGAAAAGGATGTGGTTCTTCATGTGACATAAAGTGGATCTGTGGAACTCCTTGCCAAAGGACGTTGTATATGGATGAAGTTTAGATAGTTTTGAAGGCAGACTGGACAAGTACTTGGAAGAGAGATCTGCTGACATTTAATAACTGGGTTAGCAGTTGTATTTCTGGATCAGGAAAACTCTGGCTGAAAGTGGCTAGATCACATATGTTGTCTTTTCTTTCTCTTCCCTACCTGTCCACTTTTGACCACTGCTGGAGACAGATCACCAATCAAAGCAGGCCTTTACTCTGAGCCAGTGTTACGTTCTTTCTGGTCTTATATTATGTTCCTATACTTTTTTTTTTTTTTTTTTTTAAAGAAGTGCTGTAAAAATGATTTTTGAATAGATGGTTAGGCTTGAATTTTACTTTTGTGGCTAGTGCTGGTGATTTCTGCACTAGAAATGTTTCTCAGAAGTCTGTGGATGTTAAATTGAAGTCTATTTTTCTAAAGAAGTTTTAAATGAGTCATTTAGATGATTTTCAGCATCACAGGCTACCTAGACTCTAAATGACTGCAACAATAAAGGGTATTCATTTGAAGCAGTCACAATTTCCTGTTGATATTTTATGTTCATTTTAATTTAAGCTTTGTCATTGTAACACTGCATAATTTAATGGGTGTAGAGAAAAACTGGGTGTGTTAAATGTGCAGTTGGGAAGGAGGAGGGAAGATAGCTGACAGAGACCCCAAGTCTTCTTAGTCTTGGTGTTTATGTTATGGCAAAAAGAGCTTTTTTTTTTTTCTTTTATATATATATGAATGCCTGTGTGTAATAGTGAAATAAATCCACCTTTGGATTGAACATGACAATTTTTAACAATAAACAGCAACACTATATTTGACATTTATGACACAAGGAATGCAGTGTCTGATTGTGATGGTAGAAGATTTGAAACATTCTCCGTAGAGAGATGGTATAGTTAGGTGATGCTGTGCCAGAGCCATAGGAGGATTGTCAAACTGTGAGTCAGATAAAAAACAATTGGTTTAGAGTGATGAATTAAAGCTCTGTGCTTTGGAGAAAAAGGAGCTTGCTTGATCTAATAGTTAGATATGGTCAGAACCTCTTTTTTTTTTTTTTTTTTTTAATTTATTTATTTCACCCAGAGTGCAATGCTTTCAGCTACACCATTTTCCCAACTGCTCTTCTCGGAGGAGGTGTTGGTTCTGGAGGGGAAGCAGTTCTCAGGGTTGGATGCCTGTCTTTGCCATGCTTCGTTGGAGATGACAGGGGGCAGGGTCTTCTGGGTGGCTGGCATGGCCTTGGGTGTGGGGCATGGTTAGATCACAGCTTGGGGTGGCATGGCTGAAGGGAATACTTTTTATTACAGCTAAATGACTAAACTAACCAATAACAGTAAATATTTAATGTGAGTCAGGCAAGCCTTATGAGTCAACACTTCACAATATTACAAGATGTATTTTCTTAATAGTTGAGGACCTTGAATTCCTGTAATTGTACTTGGCTGGTAATGATCTCAGACTATGGGATGGCAAGATGTGACTGTAGCTCTGTCAGGGACCAGGTCCTTTGGGTGCTGGGCAGTGTCCTGGCTCCCAATGGCTTGTGTGGTTTGAACTGTGCTCAGCTGGAGAGCAAAGCACCGTGAGATGGAAAAGTTGCCAAAAAAGAACATAGCTCCACTCTGGCTTCTGGCTTAGTACGCTGAAAAGATTTGTCATTTAAGAGATACGTGATCATTAAGAGATATGTAATATGCTTTTTAAAGATAGATGGTCTGTTACTTATTTTTAGGTACACTTTAACTAATAGTGGGAAAAGCATTTATACAGATACTGGTTATCAGCACCATGCAGTTGTCAGTTTTAAAACTTGCAGAGGGGAGAGAGACTAACAGAACCTCCTAGGGGTGATTTAGAGAGAACTGAGCCTCAAGAGGTTGATATATTCCTACTGTTCAAGTTATCTTTTGATTGTGATAAGAATGACTTCATCACCAGTATTCTGCTCATGTAGCTGTGAATACTTGTTTTGCCCTAGGAAAAATCTGTGCCAGGGTTATTATCAATGCACATGATACCATGCACCAGGTGTTTTCATTATGAAAAATGTCTTCACAATAACTCAGTAGGAACATAATTTCAGGGGTTATTTTGTTTGTTCTCATTGTACCTTGTGTGTATGCAAGAGGGAGTGCACACACACTTTAATGTAGGCAACTAGATATGAGAAAACTGCTAAAACGCATAAAATGCTGTGGTACGGCACCTGTACAAAGACAATTAAGGAGAAACCAAGATTAGGGAACACATTTCTATTTCTCCCAGAAAGTTTTGAATTGATAGATTGTATAAAATGGAGAAACCTAACCTTTGATTTTCATTCAGAGGTTTGATTTTTATTTGACTTTCCCTTCTAATATGAAAAAGATTTTCCTTTGATTGTGGGATGTTTCTGATTCTGAAGGTAGAGGAAAGAGTTAAGGCTCTACCAACATGTCACCAATTCCTCCTCTCTAAGTCTGGGGTAATGTATGGGAAGGTCTATAAGCATGGCATTTTTGTATTTTAATCCTCTTCCATTAAATTCTAATGACCGGTTGCTAAACGATGTCATGCATTTCCTCCTCCTTTTATGGGGAGCTGTTTTATAAAGCAGCAGCTTGGAAGCATACAGGAAGGAGTCATCTCTGGAATTGATTGCATTTCTGATAGAGCACTTTTGTACCATATCCCTGGAGAAATGCTGCAGGTCATAATGGCTTATGTTCTCCTTGTAGCAGCGGCATAATAATTTACAGAAGTAGAGCAAAGATGGAAACAAGATCTACCATCCTTAAACCTCTGACTAGACTCAGTTCACTCAGGGTTTTTTTTTTGTGTTTGTTGTTTGTTTGTTTTTTTTTTTTTTTTTAAAGAAAGCAGATCTTTATTATTAGTGAAGGAGAGTGAAGGGCTATGTACAATACAATGAAAACCTCTGTCTTTGAAACAGCTGATGTTTATAAATTGGTTGGGAGTATGATCTGCAAGAAACATGTCCAATTTGATCAAGTGATGTGGAAAGGACAGTTGAACAAAAGCAATATCTGCATGCATTGGGATGGCAGTAATGATCATGTCCCTTCTGTCTGTCACATGGATTCATTAGAAATGGGTGTCAGCCATTAAGCTTTGATTTTCAGCACAGGTCAGTAATGAACAAGCAAATAGAGGAAACAAAGGCTGGCCAGACTGCAGAGCAGTGTCATGATCTGATTATGCTGAGCCTGGCCACCACTTCCTTGGCTGGCTGTCCAGTGTAAGGGGGTGCTTCCCATTATTTCTGTTTCTATAACTCTGTCCTTAGTCAAATATTGGCAAGAAATGTATGGATCTTACATGTATCTTCCCTGGAAAATTGCTTCTTTGGATTCTGATAGAAATCAACAAGACAGTCCCCTGAGTGAATTCTTCCTGATGTTCCAGATTTGGTGAGTGCCCAGGTGTGCACAGGGCATGTAAGAAAAAGCTTTTGAGGTTTATAAAACATATGCCATTTGCTGTGGCTTCTTTTTTTTTTTCCCATTTGCAAGTGTGTTGGTCCTGAAGAATATATAAAAATAGAGATGGTTTTTACTCTTTCTTTCTGCAAATGCCTGGAATTTTAGCATGGGACTAAAGGCCTGTATTAAATAATAATGGGCACTGGACATCAATCATTCTGCTAGTATCAGGCTGTCACAAGCAATGTTTTATGATTGGACTGGTGTTAGCCTGAGCAGATTTCCCATGACACACTTCCATAGTAGCTCAGGACAATTTTTCATTAATACTCTGGTAATTTGGATGTTCACTGAACTGAAATTTCAGGTGGGTCAAGAAAATACACTGCTGTGACCAGGAAAGGACACAGATACTTAAAATATGCTAGTACAGGTACCTCTGGCTTCTACTATAGCTGTAGGAAGGTCACTATACTTACCTTCTCATTATTTCAACTTGTCCATTTACATGAAGTGGTAGTAATACAATGTCATTGAATGTAGTGGAGTTTAACAAACAAATATTTGCAAGGCATTTGGAGATTTTATATAAAAGGTTTTGTAATACCAATGCCTGACAAGACTGCAAAGTCTTGCTGGTGAAGTCCATAGTGGTTACCCTGAGATGAGAGTGGTCTTGAAAACTCTGAGAGAGAAAGCAGTGGAGCAGAGGTCTCAGGCTATGAAAGGTGAAACAATGTGGAGGCAACACCCTCAGTGTCAGAGTTGAGGCCTTTTTCTCCTTCCCTTTTTTTTGTACTGAGTAACATTTAGCACTGTGAGTAAATCCATTGGTTTCAGAGCTTCTCATGTCAGAGAATCTAGCCTGCTCTTTTTCATAGAACTGTAAGAATATACTAGGGATGGCAGAAGGGAATGTGCAATATATCACTAATGAAAACTCAATATAATTGATATGATTTTTACTAATGATGTCGCTAGCTCCTAATGATGTACAATCATCTTTACATTAATGAGAAAAATTAAAAACTAAAATACAGCTACCTTAAACTGTGGTTCATCCTTTGTTGTATCTTCTCTCCCAAGCCCCAGATTTGTGCAGCAGTGGAAAAGATACAAAGTCAACAAGCTGAAAAGCACTTGAGATTTGCAGGTTTTACCTTTATAGCAAGATGATCTGAAAGTTCATGCACGTGATTTATATTGTGCTGTTCTGTTGGATGTTTTGCTTTTTGCAGTGGACACTGAGCTAAGAATAAGAGGGCTTGAGGAAATCTAAGTTTGAAACTCCTGCCAGAGTTGAATGGTAAGGACCTTGCCCTTTTTTCTGATACTCCTTTTTGGATGGTTTTAGGCATGTTAAATTTGATTGCTTATTCTGTAGAGCCAGCTAATCAAACAATAGTCCAGGAGAAAGTGGCAACACCGGGACAAGGCAAGGGAAGAGTGGGAAAATGACAGAAACCTCAGAAACAAGGCTGAATGTCAACTCTGAAAGCACAGTGCTATCTGTGCAAGGAATATGAGTGATAATGATGGATTAGTGACATCCATTCTCTCTGCCTTTTCACTGTACTGAAAAAATAAAGTAAGTTCTTGAAGAATTTGTTACCAATTATCTGTTAATGTTTGTATTTGAGAAAGGAATCATACTGGAAAACGCTATATTCATGCATCATTACTTTTGTTCATAAGACAGTCTGAGATTTTTGTTGCAAAGCAATCAGAAAAGGACTACCTGATCTTTAGTTTTGAACTTCCTTTTTACACGTTGATATTTTTTTTATGTAGTGAACACATAGTCTTGGAGAGATACATCCCTATTTTGGTGCTCTTCCTACTTGGGTCTCTGGGCTGTTAGGAAATAAAATTTTATCATGTTCCCTTACATTTGAATGAAGCTGATCTCTTTGTGCAAGGCAGGGAAGAGGAGTTGTCACTATTAATTTATCTGTTTTCCAGGGGTCAATTGGATGGGTCTTCTGTCATCTTTATAGCAGCAAAATGACAATGTGATGATTGTGAGGACTCTGGAATAGAGTAATAAGAGTTTTCTCATGTGGAAACCAAAGAAGAGTGTGGTCTATAGAACTAGGCTTTTGCCCACAGAGGTCAGAGAGTTGAATGCTTTTCCTAGGATCTTCCCTTCTCCCTCCTGGATGAGGGAAGGACTTTATCTGTAAATTCAGGAAAGGTGTTAAGAAGGAATAGCTGAGTTAGGAGTAGACTGATTAATGCTCCCTTAGTTCCAGAAAGTCTAGTCTTTAATGGAATGATGATTATTTGCATATCTTGCACCCATTACTAACAGGCCCTCCCCCCCCCCCCCCCCCCCCCCCCCCCCCCAAGAATAGTCCTAGACACGAGTTCTAGCAGAAAGAAGCATCCAGGAGTCTGAACTCAATCCTTTTGGCAAGTTTTATAATCTAGTTCTGCCCACTGCTGCTGTAAAAATCCAGTACATTTCCAATTCTTCTCAAGATAACGTATATTCCTGAATATGTATTTTACATTAACACTTAATATTTACAATGGGTTCTCTGTGCATTATAAAACATAGGTAGCATCCCTAGGGTAATCAAAGCATTAGGATCATGCAGTAAGATCTTTGTAAAGATGGTCAAAGAGAGAGAGAGAAAAGTGACATTGTGTTTAATGAAATGCCTCCACAGCAGTCTCATCCCTTTGGATGGTGACAGTTTATATAGCAACATACTCTAAGCACTATAGGATGCAGTCAGTGTGTTGAGTGAGGACTCGGAATTCCTGTGAGCAGAGCAGTCCCTTGCTAGAGTCACATACTCGGTGCCCAGGGAAAAATGTTGATCACAATGCACTGGGCAAAGTAATTTAAGTGTTAATAGTTATTTTGTAAGCATGGTAGCTCCTTAATCTGTATTTCCTATTTTTTTTTAAAAAAAAGCCATTATGATTTACATATTAAGAAACAGGCAACCCAATGCCTTACTAGATAAGCTATTTAAGTAGCTATTAAAAAAGTGCTATAACTTTTTCATAGTTTTTGTCTACCCAGGGTCCATTTTTACCCTTGGGATCTCATGGTGAGTTTGTTTTGCTAGATTAAAGAGTGGTCTGCCACCAGAAATCTCTTCTCATATGACTATTTGTAGACCACAAGCAAGTTGCCTTTGTTTAATGAATAAACTAAACAGGGCAACCTTTGAACTCTTCTAGGATGAGGCATGTTTTCAACAGATTTTTGACAGTACAACTGGTTACTACGGGTATATGGCTAGTAGTCATACTTATGTGCTAAACAAAGGAAATATTCCCTCAAATACCTATTTCTATACATCCATTTCTGCTTTCCCAGTTACAACAGGATGCAGATGTGGTTGGACTAGTTGATTATGTATTGGCACTCTGAGGTTCTCCTTACTGTCACTGCTTTCATGAATTCTTTAGGTAAGATCCATAAATGTGTGACCTTCCATCTGGCTATATTAAAATGTGTTAGAAGATATTTTGTTGTCTTTATTTTCTAAAGGATAAACTCTAATGGCCTCTGTCACTCTGTAAGTGTGACTATGGCAAGTAGGTGATGCAAGAAGTCTCTCTTCTGAACATATTGTGATTTGGGTTATTTAATTCTCTCCACCAAAATTCTGCTTGCAATTTGAAGTCTCCTACCCAGTCATCTGAGACTGTGGCGGAGTGGTGCTCCTGTATTTTGCTCCAGCTTTGCACCACGTTGGTAGTTGTTTCTCATATATCTTGTGTCCATCCACCACTTGCCTGAATCTTCTGTCGTCTATGCCTTGTTATTAATATCCACTGGAAGGAAGAGGAGTAAACTAGAAATTACCCTATTTCCTGGAAAAGGAAAAAGGTTGCATATTGTTGCATTATTCCTGCTGCAACCTTTCTTGGACATTTACCCATTTTTCCTTCCCAATCAGCATATGTCTCTACCTCAGCAACATCAACAAATCAAAGGCTGTAGTTGTACGGCTTAACATAACTCTGAATTCTCTGAACATTTCTGCAATTAAATCTCGAAAAATATTTTCTGTTAAAATATTTTTCCATATAATATAATGTGTTCCAAAATTAATTATTTTTTTAACATATGCCTGATCCTTTTAGTTTAGTGTGAATTTTGGATACATTTTCCTATTGTAAATAATGTTTCCATTAAGCTATATGTTTAAGATTGCTCAGTTTCCTGTTAGTATTTACCCTGCAGTAATCTTCAGCAATAGAACAGTGAAAGGTTCTTCTGTTTATCATTTGGTGTTCATTTATTATTAATCTAAGATTTGAAAGACTCCAAGAATCTATTGTTTTTTATTGTGGCACATAAGTGAGCTAGAGGAACTGATAGATTTTTCAGGTTTGATGGAAATAGTCATGTGCATTTTCCTAGAGTATTGTTTTCCTAAATACGCTGTCTGCTAAAGGAGGTCATTGTTGTAATCTTTTCTGCTACTTTTGATTTTAAAAGTATCATTGTAAAATTGATTAAGATTCTATTCCAGGTTTAAAAAGGAGAAGGAAATATGATAAAAAGTGCACCATGAAGACATCTGTGTTCTACTGGCATAAACTGATTTAACAAAAAAAAAAAGTCACATAATGTGCAAGAGAACAGTCAATATATTTTTTCATGCTCTCTAACTCTGAGGTCAGTAAATCACGTAAATATGTGGTAGTTTTGGTACACTTATAAATTCCCATGTTTTTCTTGCATCAGAATTCTTATTAAGGAAATTATATTTCTAATGATTATCCCCAATCTTGTTTTCAGAAGTAAATTAAGCTCCTAAATTTGAGTCCAGCTACCATTGCTATGCTCAGGGAAATTAGAACAAATGAAAATGCCTACATAACAAATGATGACATCTAGCTGGTATTGGGAATGGGTACTCCAGATCTGGAGTGCTACCAGATACAACTGCTTTATCTACACCGTGACCTCCCTCAGTATATTGGCTCTCGTATAAGACCTCCTGTTATTTCAGACTGCTGTTATCCGCCTGCTGTTTCAATCTGAATGTGTCTTAGTAAGATGTGTATTACTTGTACAGATAATAACCATTTACCAACTATCCCTGAATATGCTTGGAATCTTTCAGTCTTTAATCAAAGTTGTCATCTGCTCAGATTCCTTTACTCAGACTTTCTTGTCTTTGGGTTTATTTGACCTTTTGATATAGCAATGTCAGGTCTGAAAAGCTTTTCATCTATTTAGTGACTAATATCTAGCAATATACATAGAAAGAAAATCTATAATTTGACAGGTGGCAAGGAAAGTCAGAGTAGTAAATTTAGATCAATTCATGGTTTACATTCTTGGAAATGGTTTTAGCCTTTAGTGAGCTTTAAATTGATGCAAAGCAGTTACTGAAACAAAGGTAAGGATTTATCAAACATCTGTTCATAGTTAAATATAGTAGCAGTATTCAGGGAGATGTGTACCCGCATGATATTTTGCTAATCAGTTTTACTTTGAAACAGTGGTGGAATTGCTAGTTAAGGTTATGTAAATTGTGAACGCTGTAAAAATCAAGAGATACCTGAAGAATTGGCTAGACAGATAGTAAAAGTAAAATTCTGAGACTTTTGGAGTCCACAAAAGTCTGACAATAATTCCTACGCCAATAGAAATACAATAATTCAGATTTCTTCCCTGGGTATACCAGCTGAACTAAAACCTGTGAGCGAGGCAGTAAGGCTTACCTCTTAATTCTCTGTGTATCCCCACCAGAGGAAAGCTGCAAAAACACCAGTTCTTGTTCTTCCCCAAGGACCAGCATGCTGTGGAAGCTGTACTGCTTTAATGATAAGGTACAGCCCAATGGAAGTAGGGGGATCAGAATCATAATCAAAGTATTCTTGCAGCAATTAGTAGAAAAGACCGTGAAAGCAGAAGGGGAAACAGTTCTTTAAACCTTTCCTAAGCTTTCTCATGTAATCACAGGCAGGCAGATGGACGGTGACAAAGATGTAGATATTTAGCTCCCACAGGCCCACACATACGTCTGCAGTTGTGCACACCTGCACCTATTTTTGCTTCCAGTCTGTGTCCAGCCTGGGATTTGAAATGGGATGATCACCTTTCAGCATGGGAAGAGCTTCTGTACGTGGCTGCTGCCAGCAGTGGCAGGGGAGAGGAGGAGAAGAACACTGGAATTTGAAACACAAGACAGTGCATCCTAATGGTTATTCTCATCATTCTAACAACGTTAGCCTGACTCCATAACAGAATTTGATTATGGGGGAGCCCAAGATCACCCCGTGCATGATGACAGTCTTCTTAGCCTGCAAATAAAGCAGTGAAGAAAA